AAACGGAAGTTTGTTCCAATACGAAGATTGTGACTATCTGAAAAGTGTCCTTAAAACGAGCCTCCTCGCAATTGTATGCACATTATTTATTCAGCCGTTTGCTGTTTAATCTGATGGGAAATATATCATTCAAAAGAGAGAGAAAAGCTTGCCAGGGGTGGGGAACCTCTGGCCCCCGGGCCGTATACGGCCCGCGAGACCATTTGGTGTGGCCCTCGAGGTAATTTATAAACACACGCAAAAAAGATTTAAAAAATAATTAAACAAGTGAGTGCCTGTTTTTCCTGGCCACGGTCAGGGTCCTTGAACACAACACAAGCCTAAGGTGTCATCACGTGGTATATGTCTCATCTGACAGGGGTTTAGAGCTGACGGAGAGCACCAGAACGCAGCTCCGCTCCGGCACTTCCAAAAATTGCAGTACCCATAAGGAGCCGAACACATGCCGCAGTTTTTGCGTGGCTGTGTCTTTAGTTGTAAGCAGTGCTTGAATTGGAATGAAAAAGGTGCCAGTACTCTAAAATCAGCAACTTTTTCAAGTCAATTATATATATACAGCCCACAAACAAGAATTTGGCTACTATAATGCTGGTGGGTTTGTCTCTTTACTACTGTATATTTTAGAAAGGTTCACTGTACTTAACATTTTTTATGATAGGCAGCGGATATGGCTAAAGCTCAGTAAGGTCAATATTAACTGAAAATATAGCAATCAAAGTCTAGATCTTCTGCTGAAGACACATGAAGCAGAGACCTTTCAGGTGAGAGCCCCTCTGGTGGTGTTCAACATTAATGACAAGGAAACAAAGCTCTGGTCAGAAGCATTTTTTATAAAAAGCTTTAACAAAATTAAGTATTTCTGTACATTTTGAATGCAATCTAACTTTCCAACTCAGAAAACGAAAAACGAAAAAGTGCCAAAAGTCTTCTCACATGGCTGAGCTGCTTTGCAATATACTTCACCACTGAAGAATACAAATATGTATAAAGTAAACTATGATGCAATCTAACTTTCCAACTCAGAAAAATGATAAAGAGCATGAACAAAGAACATGTAAAAACAAATGCAAAATTTGCACAATCTAAAATGAGAAACTGTAACTGCAAGTAACAAAGTCTGAGCCATGGTAAAGAGTTACATTGAACACCAAGCTGATCAGATAACTCCCTGGTTGGTCTGAAGTCCTTCTATCTCCAGGATCTGTACAAATCGGCACATTATGCCAAAAGTCTTCTCACTGGGTGAGCTGCTTTGCAATATACTTCACATTGTTAGAAAAGGCTCCAGAAGGCCTTGGGGACATCAGTATCAGGGGCTGGAGCTGGACAGGCTCTTTCATCAGCACTTCTCCTTCCCTTTGCCAGCCAGGACCTCACATACTGTTCCGGATTGAACTGTCCTAGTGATGGTCCATTACATTTAATGAAAACCAGGCTGGACAGTCGGCTGACAGAGAGAGCATTCCTTTTTGCAGTAAGGATATCGTTCATGCAGCTGAATGCCCGCTCACACTCACTAGTGGAGACAGCGATGGTTCGGACTGCTTTCAGTAGAGGCTCCATGGCAGCAGGTGTACGGGATGCCCTGGTTTCCTTGTATTCGCGAAAGCCCTGAACAGTCTCTCTTCTGTCCACTTTCAGCACTTCGCACAAACGTAGCACCTCTACGTCCCCATACTGTACGTCTAACTCCTCTTCAGGCCAACTTCCAGGATGGATAACTTTCATGTCCTGGATTAGCTGATTGTCCCGGGCCTCCCGGCCATGTAATGGGATTTCCCTTGTGCTGACATGAGAGGAGGTTGTGGAAGTCATTCTGTGTCTCAGATTCTCTACCATACTGCGGAAAAACTGACCTGCATGAATCTGTACAAGCCTGCCATTCTCACGCAGGGCAACACCCTTGAAGGACTTCTCAGCTAGAGCTGTATGAACTGTAGTGTGGGCCAGGCATGGTGACCATGGATTCAAAAACTCGTATTTCTCGAGTTAAGAGCCTATCTGCTGTAGGCAGTGTCATCTCTCTTTTTTGGAGTTGCCGAGAGAGGTCGCTGAGCTCTGTGAGCGCATCGTACATCAGTCCCAGATTGCTGACAAACGTTGCAGATGTGAGCACATCATCCAGGCCGTTGTACTTTGCTCTGTCTCTGGAATCCCTGCTCGTGTCGTTTGCAGCATTTGTGAAGTGATCATGAAGCACTCGGTAGTTTTCCCAGACTGCTCTGACGCTCCTTTCACTTGAAGCCACCCAGCGGATGGACAACACACGCCCTATCACCAGGAGACGCTGTCCGACTGCTTGCGCACACTGCGCTAACTGCCTCTGATTTTTGGGGGAGGCATGGAACAAGGAATAGAGTTTGTCAAAAAAGATCTGGAAATGATTGAGCCCTGAGACCTCCTTGACCACATCCCCAACTGCCAGCTCTAGATGATGATTGGAGCAGTGCCACACAAACAGGCTTGGGAATTTACTACACAACTGGGTAGCAACGCCTGTTCTCTTCCCTAGCATGACTGAAGCCCCATCACATGCAAAATAAACGAAACACTGACCTAAAAAGTCCTCGTTAAAATCTCTTCCAAGACACTCCATTAACGCCTTTGTGATGTCATCAGCCGTTGTTCCATCCAACTCGATCAGCTCCCAAAAAAACGTTTCGGGCTCAGCATCAGCTAATGCTGAGCGTAGACACACAACAAGCACCGTTTTACCACTAATAGTGGTAGATTCATCGACCAAAACACAGAGTTTTCTTTGGTTTTCTGTAATGTCTTTTGCCATTTTTTTCTTCAGCTCATGAGCTATGTGGTCGATGATTTCGCCACAGGTTTTATTGGAGTGCAAAACCCTGCCCACGTTCAGCCCATTCAGTTTCTGTACATTGAAATCAATTGGCATGTCTGTGAATGGCCGGCTATGTTTGCCAATTTTATATGCCGTTCGAAAAACTCTGATAGTGGTGTCTAATTCAGATTTATGCATAGACTGCACTTGATGTTGAATAGTTTCACGTGAAGCAGATGTAAGGATGTCAGCAACTTTTACATGGGCTTGTGATTCTTTATGTTCTTTGATTTTTTTTCTCAGGCTAGCTTGTTGTTTGCCCTTGTCAACACCGAAATGAGACACTGCACACTCACCCCATTCAGTTGACAGTTTCAGTCCTTGTCCAGTGTGTATTCCCAAAGATTTGACATCTCTGCATATCCGACATCCTAGCTTCTTATCTTTAAGAAGGAGCCATGCATTGGTCTTGCAAAAAATATTGCACCTGGTCCGTTGTCCAGCAGTCAGGTGCATCGCTTTGCCCGGTGTTGGTGGTGGCAGTTGCGCCAGCAGCAGCTAACGTTAGAGGCTCTGGAGGAGGCGGCGGAGCTAGTGCTAATGCTAATGCACTAGAACTTGGAGCAGGAGGATCAACCAAAGAAAGCTCCCCATCAGACACAATTTCCAACACAGGCACAGCATTCTCTGTATTTGAAGTTTCTTCCGGCGACAACCGCTGTCTTTTTGCACTTTTATTAATCCACGCTAACATTTTAGAAATGCTAATTTGTGACGTGACTTGCTTTCCTTCTCTCGGGGGCGTGCCTGCTCTGTTCTATCACTCTACATAGCCACCCACTGGGTGGGAGTTGCACTGCATAAACACAACACACGTGCATCTAGGTATGTAAATTGTAAAGCATTAAAACATGGTTTTACTAACAGTTTTCAGTATGTTGTTACTTCGGCATTATTATTATTATTATTATTATTTTGAAACGTGTATTACTATCAAATCACGGTCAAATAGGTTAATTTTGACATAGTCGTTTCCACCACAGTATTTACATGGAGAAGATAAGCCCCGCCCCCTCTCCAGCACGTTCTGTTTGAATGACAGGAGTAAACAGCTGACAGCCGCTGTGAAACTCCAGCGGTTAGAGCGATGAGAATGTCCGTTCGGCACCTCATGACGCATCTACTGAGTACCGGGCGGCTGTATATATATATATGGATGTATAATAAGAACGGCGGGAGAGTGTTGAGTACTGGCACGGTGCATGAGTACCGGAGTACCGCCAGCATGCCGGTACTGAGCAAGAAGTGCCGGTACTCCATGGGTCAGAACCAGAAGTGCCGGTACTGCGTACCGGTGAGTACCGGCCCAATTCCAGCACTGGTTGTAAGCCCAGTGGCGATCTGTCATCCTGATCATACAGTCAATAACTTTGTTGTTATTAGCATCTGGTTAACTAGCTATGCTAACGAATATAAGAAGCTTTTTCTACAAAGACACATCTTTATATGATCATTATAGTTATAAAAAAATAAGAGAATAAAGTAAACAGGTATAAAATACTATATGACAGTAAACAAAAGTTGTTATTAATAAACAAGAATACAGTTTGAAAGGGGAGTGATTTGTAAAATATCCATAAAGAAAATCTGCTTACAGTTCTGTTTCATATGGGTGTTGAGAGATGTATGATCCATAGATCTACTAATGTTGCTCTCAAAGTGCACCAGATTGATGCTTTTAACTTCAACATTTAAAAAAAAATCTTCCCGGGGGAGCATGCCCCCCCGGACCCTCCTAGAGGAGGTTAGGTCCCCCCCACTTAAATCATGTTCACATGGATAGGAGTCTAAATACATTTGCACACATCTTGTGTCCATATTTTTCTGTTTGGGTGGTCATGCCACAACCGTGCACGTGCATGCATGCGTGAGTCATGGCAAGATATCTGGATTAAGAGGTTGCTTTTTCTTTGCACAACATGAAAGAAAGGTGAAATTAGTGGGCTGTGATTTTAGTATTTTTAAGCAGAGGTCAATAATTTGTACGGCCCTCGGAGGATGTTGAAAACATTGAAATGGCCCTTGAGAGGATAAAGGTTCCCCACCCCTGAACTAGACGAACGCTCAATACAGGCGATGACGTCACGTTTGCGCGTCCCCGCGAACAGGGCTTCAATCTACGGCACAACACCGGCACACTGATGAGCTCCACTGATTGGCTCCTGGGACGAGTGGGGGTGTGCATCTCTGATAACCACGTGTATCCAATTTCAAATTAGTTCAAAATCTTGTTCGGAGCAGGTTCGGAGCCGTGCGTCAGCTGCTGTCCTTTACCTCGTTATTTCAAAGTCAACAACTCCATCGTCCCTCTGTGAGCGCTGTGCCACACAAGACCCGAAGTTTCCTCCGAAAAAAAGCTAGAATGAGCGACTTGTCTTGGGGACTTTTTAATCACTTGGAGTCTGACAGCGACAGTTTCCAGTACTGGAATGGCAACATAGAACTGCCGGAGACGGTCAGAGAGATGATCAAGCACAAGGCAGCTGGGTCCTCCTTGCCGGCCCCCGAAGCTCCGAACCCGGAGTCTGATGGCCTGTTTGGGGCCATCATGCCGGTGCGCATTAACGCAGGTAGCCAACGTGGCGCCAATGGGACAGACTTCTCGCTGTTTGGATCTGCTTCTCTTCCACCACCTGATGGGTCGGGGTACTCCACAAACTCCTATCGTGCTATTGGGGCAGACTTCTCGCCGTTTGGCTCTGCGTCGCGTCCACCACCTGATGGGTTGGATTACTCCACAGACCGCTATCGTGCTGGTTCTCCAGACGCTATGGATCCAAGGGTAGTTCAAAGACAGATGGGCTCCCGGGGACCAAAAGACCGAAAGAAATCCCCTCATTTGAAAACGCAGACTTCACCATTGTCACCTGGGTTGCCTGCGCGCATGTCTTGCAGTTTCTGCCGGAACAACGACGAGTCCGAGTTGGTGTGCACATCCCACTGGCTGAAGAACCAGGTCGGAGATGTTCTGTGTCCCTACCTGCAGCAGTACGTGTGTACCCTGTGCGGAGCCACGGGGGCCAAAGCCCACACCAAGCGCTTCTGCCCGTTAGTGGACAGAGCGTACGACTCCGTGTACAAGACGTGCAGACGCTGAACTAACAGGTAGCAATAAGATTTAGAAGGCTGAATGTTCTTTCATGTTATCTTTTAATTTGTTTTGGTGTGTTAGTTTTGTGAAGTATTTCAAGAACGTCAACAATATATTAAGCTAAAATACATAATGTAAAATGTATGTTTATTTGACATATTTTAAAACGTGGCTAATCATGTTCAGCTTCATATCCCCTGTTCTTGGATTTAAGCTATAGATATAGCAACATCATGTTTCCATGTCAAGATTTTAACATTTTAAAGAAATGAATGACTTATTCTGAGGTGAACCTGTCCCCTAGCTGTGTTTTTATTTTTATTTTGAATGATGTACCTGTGGCTCTTCAGCTCAGTGTTAAAAATGGTGTGAATATTAATGTATGCCAGAAAATATAAATATGTAAATGAAAATCTCTGTGTGTATTCTTTGTCAACATTTAGCTATGAGTGTACTATGTCCAATAGCAGATGATACTAAAAAATACTTAAAGACTAACTTAACAACGCTTTATTTTTGGGAAGAACTTAGACTTTAAATGTAACAATCCAGCTGTCAGTGATACAAAAACACAGTAAACGGTGATACATTTGTACACTCAAACACCTTCATTACTCACAAACCATGGGTCAACAATGAACATCTTAGTGGAAGGGACTTCCTCCTCAACGTGTGGAGCTTCTTGAAGTTTTACTGCTACGCCGCAGGTTCTCCAGATCTCTGTGAGTGGCCATGACCTTACGACTAGAAAGCAACCAGAGGTCAATTATTGATTAATGGCGTCAATAACTTGAGTATTATTTACACATTTGGCAATTGACAACAAGTATTGACAACATTCAGGCAGGTTGAAGATGTTAAGTACGGATGACTAACAGGAAAAGAGGGTAAAAAGTCAGTCACCCTGAATTGATTTATATTTATTTTGTTTAAAATGTGTGTCTTTACATTTTATTTTGGCTACCACTAAACCCATAGTGTATTAGTTTGACTTAGATTTGTACCCTCATGCCATCTTCAAAGCCTGAGGTGATGGTGCCAAGCTGTCTATGGCTGAAACCTGATGACACCATCCAGCCAATAGGAGCACAGAGAAGGTTGAGAGGGGGAAAAAAACTGACCAATTAATTAAGAGTCAAAAGTTCAACTGGGAAGAGAGCTGAGCAGCAGATGAATGCAAAGGGAGGTAAGTGGTGTAAAGTAACAAGTACATGTACTTAAGTACAATTTTGAGGTACTTTTACTTTACTTGAGTATTTCCATTTATGCTGCTTTGTACTTCTACTTGACTACAATTCAGAGGTAAATTGTTTACTTTTACTCCACTACATTTATGTCATAGGCCTACCTTTAGTTACTTGACAGATTTGGATTAATGATGTGAAATATAATCAACACCTAAATCAGACTTTAGTTCTACCTGGAGTACATTCACAAGCTACCCTGCAGTATACAAAGTCATTCAAACTAGCTGCACCTTTACCAGCTTTAAAAACACATCAATAACTATATCAGAACATATCGTATATATAGTATTCTGAAATGGACCAATTTGCATATTGAGCATTTGTTATGCTAATACATTTTAATGTTTACTTGAGTAACATTTTGATTGCAATACTTTTACTTGTAACAGAGTATTGCTGCACTCTGGTACTTCTACTTTTACTCAATATCTGAGTACAATACAAAAGGGCCCCTAAAGGAGAAAGAATGATGAATATATACGGGTATACAGTATTTGATTGAACAGAAAATGAAGGTTTTCCTTACTTTAGAGAGGAGAGTTCTCTGATGAGCCCACAGATCAGCTCTGTAGCATCTTCATGGTCTGGAGAACCAAGATCTTCCTCCTCCATCACATCCACCTCACTGGATGGAGAAAAGTGTACAATGTATACAACTAAAAGTGAATCTGAACTGTCAGTTAATTACAGGCTTTCTATATATCCATCTATAAGCATGTTCAAATATTAAACATTAGTTTTCATTTTACGTGTAGACATGACATAGGAAATGATTACAGTAATCAGATTCTGTCCAAATGTCATTATCTTCTGTCTTTGTTTATATTATTTCAGGTGTCAAAGTAGCTCCTACATCCTTTCAAAAGGTTTAACTCTAACAACCTGTCAATGTGTACGTTCTTTTTTCACAATAGAAGCAAAAGCCCACTGAGTTTCCCAAACCGCTACTGAGCTAAAACCCTGAGCTTGTTCGCTCTTTTTTCTCGACCGTCCCTTTCTTTACACCACTGTCAGGTTACTTGTAGGACTTAACGTTTCCCTGCTTCCTTACCTCAGACTGATAGTGTTCAGCTGCGAGTCAGTAACGTAATCCAGGTACCCAGATCCAAACGGGTCGGTGGTGTCCCAGGTCTGAAGGGGCTCAGTCGATCCAGCACTGTGTTCCTTATCACCATCACACTGTGTGCAAAATAAATGTATCATTTCTGTAAAGCAACAAATAACCTTCAGTGTTTATCAATTCATTTATACTTGTGTGTTTTTAGTCAAAATAGAATGGGTGTCAGAAAATTGGAAAGCCTGCTTTTGCTTAGAATATTTAAAGCTATTTTCCATTTCCCTCAAACACTTAAACACAAAGGTAATATATTTAGAATGATATATAAAGAGAAGAAAACAATCTTCTCTTTTAAGAAGCTGGAACCGGCTAGTATTTGTTTTTTTCTCTAATAAAACAAATATAATGTAATGAATAAAATGACAACTGAATTGTGTTTCAATTCCAATGATCTGTTGTTTGATTAATTATTTAATAGTTTCAGCAGCAACTCATTATAATTAATTGTGTTGCTATTGCATTATTCATAGAAGCTGCACAATCATGTGTCGCAATGTTAGGACAAACACTATTTGCTTAACTCACAATGACAAATATTTGATTTACGTGTAACTTACCTTAACTTGTACCTTTGTTCCATCACTCACGCTGTCTTTCCTCTCTGAGCCACTAGGCAGCGCTGCAGCCTCGCAGAGCTTCACAGTGTTTGATCCTCCTGACTGGGGGTCTGTGGGTGAAGCACCTGCCTCAGCTCCGTCCCCAGCACCACCAGTCAGCTCCTCCTTCTTCTCACTTGTCCTGGTGTCACTATTCACCTGCAGAACGGCAGCCTCCATCGCATCCCCGTTCTCAGTCTCCTCATTTTGAGTTGGATTAGAGTATAAAGTGAAGGCAGGACTTTGGTCTTCTGCTGCTGCTGACCCATCTTCCCCGTCTTCTATGGGTTCCTGAGGTTTTTCAGCAGGAATCTCAGCAGCGCTGCCCTCAGGTTCCTGCTGATCCGGATTCTCCAAAAGCTCTTCCTTTTCCTCCTCTGTCGGCGGCGGGTCTGACTTTGTGTCAGCAGTTTGCTCTGGACCAGGCGCTATGACACCTTCAACCTCACAGCTCTCTCCCATTGGATCACATGCAGCACTGGTCCCATCTGAGGTAGTGACAGTAATGAGGACCTCTGTTTCCTCCCTGTGTGTTAAATCAAATCAATTGTATTACTGATGTGTGATCAAGTATATTTGTCTGTGTTTTATTCAGTGATTGAAACTTTTTTAAAACTTTTTTTATACTGAAGCAGTGTATATTCCCTAAATGTGTCCACAATAGATTACAGATGGTAATCTAGTATTAGACAGAAGGGGTACACTTTGCTATTGTTTTCACTATTGATTAATCTGCTGATTACGTCTTTGATTTATCGTTTGGTCTATAAAATGACTGTGACAAATATACATCTCAGTTTCGTAAGTCCAAGGTGATGTCTTTCATGTTTTGTTTTGTCCATCCAAAAACCAAAGTATTTATTTTAATTTGATGTAAAACTGAGAAAAGCAAGAAATCTCAAAATGTTCTGCAAAAAAAACTTAATTTTCTGCCCGTTATGCATTAAATCCTTACTTTATTGGCTTCCACCAATGGTCGTTGTCATGAGAATGTGAAAGTAAAACAAAAATGTAAGATATTCAACATGTTGTTTGTATTCCTCACTACATGTTTCTGACCTGTCTTGCCTTCCACAGTGACTGGACTCAAGTTGTATATCTGGCTCTTCCTGTTCTGTGACACTGCCTGCTGGGATGGATGATGAGGATGATAAGGGGGAAGAAGATATCATCTCTTCCTGAGCCACAAGGTCAGCTGTGTTATTACAAATCGTTATCTTCTCGACTCTCTCCTGTCTTTTATTCCCATTTTTTTGTGTGTGCAAAAAATGATTTCGCTCTCTCTCCGTCAGACCACACATACCCATCCTTCGCTTCTTTTTGGCTGGCAACCCCGCTGCCGCCTCCTTAGTGAGTTCCTTGACATCAGCCATGTTCACATTGCTTGGACGGCTTCTTGCTTGGATGGCTTCTTGTTTTTTCTCTGAATCACATTGAGAATTCTCCTTTGCACCCATTTGCTCATCCAAAGCAGATTTATCACCCTCTTCAGAGATTGCCAAGAAGACCTGGAGTTGATCGGTGCATGTTTGTGATCTGTTACATTCCTCTGCAGTCATTTCCCCCTGGTTCTTTTGAATATTGTTGCCTTCATTACCGGCATTTCTTTTGAATTCCTCCGGCTGAGAAACATTGTTGTGATTGGCGACTGCTGTCTCTTCTTGATCTTCAAAAGCTTCAACCTCCACACGTGTTGCTTCTGAATGTTTTTCATATGTGTCAGGGTCTTGTTTGGTGAGAGAGGAGAGTCCTTCTGCCTCATGCTGTCGAGTTGAAATTATAGTAGATTCCTGCACAGAAGTCGGGTGGGACTGAAGCAGTTTGGCATCTACTGCCGAGGTACTTCCTTCAGTGTCCTGAAAATCAAAACAGACTTCATGTGAATACATTGGCTTGATAAGATGTAAATGTAAGTTCTGTTTGAATCACCTTAATTACCTGCTGATGGCGAGAAGCCTGGACAGTTTCTGAGATTTCCTCACTCGGACATTCCCTCTTCCTCGACCTCAGGGACCGAGGCTGCAGTAGAGCTGAGTTAAGTGCACACATGAGGACCAACTCAATAAAAAATAATCACTTTACCTGATTAATATTTAAACTTGGCATTTCATGGTAAAAGGAAGCAATTATAAATCAAGGAGAACTTATTGTTGAGTCTCAAAATAACGGTATTTCAAACATTTCAAATATATAACAATTATATATATTTTAACAGAATCATGTCACTATGTATTTTTTATTTAACCTTTAAAAAACAAAACTGTGATGTGTTATGATAAAAATGTTTTTTTTTGGATGACAGACCTTAATGTTGACACTTAATGTTAAAGTGGTAATCACTTAGATTGCTTCTGTAAACAGTAGTACATTATAATATGATCTGCTTTACCACTCCCGTTGATCTTTGCTTTTCCTTTGGCCATCTCCTTTTCCTTGAGAATAAAAATAAAGAGAACAAATAAAGACACAACATATATAAGAAATATCTTTAACATAATACAAATAATTTCCCATTGTTACGGATTAGTTTATAGTAAGCTAACAATAGTTAATGTAGTAAAGGCAGCTAGCTAACAACAACTGAGTGAATAAAGACATTTGGAGATATTACTTTTGTAACGTTATTAAGTGTATTTGCTGCGGTTAAAAAATCAATGTAGGATTATTTAAGTTAATAACTATTAGGTTACAGTGACAAAATGTCGCGTTATATACCTTTTCCCACAGTCACACAACAATAGTCTAAAGTTTGAGGTGTACGCAGAATTTCAGAGCATCTTTGGGTGCAACGTCACGGCGGGGTTTTACGTCAGTAATGGGTGTGTTTTGTCCAGCCGTAAAGCTCGATGTGCGTTTCCATGGGAGACGTAATGTAGGAAGTAAATTCCAGTGCTCACTGTTCTTGTTTTGACAGCTCGAGCCTAACGTAAAATTACACCTGCCTGCTTTTATATGCTCTCTTGTCTTTTCTCCTGTCGCTTCTGAGCAGTTTTCGATTTAAATAACCGACCCGACTGGCTGTAAACATTCACACCACGGTCCGTGAAACTGCCAAGGTAAACAGTGTGCCTGTACATTCATTCGCTAAAAAGAAATGGTATGTTGTGCTGGCTGTGAGCTAACTCGAGCAGAGAAGCTAACTTGATACAGGACAGTGGGAACAGTTTGAATTATTACACTAAGTGGCTGCTTTTAAAGTCAGTGCCCACTCTGTAGAGCTGCACTAGCAGTGGATACTGTCATTTGTTGACATGTTCATCACCTTTCTCCTTGTTTCCATGATCTGAACTAAAGTAACCCCTCTTTAACTTTTAGGTAGTAACAGTCCAATGAGTCGCAGTCGAAACCCCCCTCCCCGGGGTCAAGGGGCAGCACGAGCCAAACAGGTAAAGCCAGTCATGTCTGATAGTGAGATGTGTGCATTATATCTACTGCTATCATGTCAACAACAGGTATGAGTCAGCAGCTCTGTCCCTTTCTTTATGCCTGTCTGTCTTGCTGTTTCTCAGATGGGGCTGCTCCTCGACCTGTCCCCGGGCGGAGGGATGGATGATGACGGAAATGATGCAGATCTGGAGGCAGAACTGCTGAACCTGCTGGGAGGAGGTGGAGGGAGAACGCAAGGGAAGAAAGGTGATGGCAAAGGTGAGTAAGAATCTTACACTGATGTCATTTGTTAAAATGTTCCATTGTGAAGTACAGTTGTCTCTGATACCTGTACTAGTACTTTGTATATGATTAAGTGCTGATTGTGATGTTTTTGTGTACGTACAGCTCCTGTTCCCATGGCAGATATAGAGCGAATGGCAGCTCAGTGTATGAAAGACCTGGATGATGATGACATGGATGGTGAAGATTTGGATGATGATGATGAAGACCTGCTGGTAACAAAGCTACATCAACAATTTGTGGATTCATTTAAATAATTTTCTTTTTAATAGATAAACAAGGACCGTCAATCAAAAATGAAAATCATTGGCTACTCCCAGTTTCTCCTTTGTGCTAAATGTGCTGCTTTTCTTTGTCATGTGCTGTATGATAATACACATACAATGTAATGCGCATGGTAGTTCACAGACTAAATGATGACTAGTAAATACTGAAACAATTATCTGATTATAAAAATGTACTGTTACTTGCATTCCTAATCCTTTTCACTTCACGTTACCTATAATATGCTGGTGAAGCTTGGATGTTGATTTGCTTTAAATATCTGGATTTGTAAACAGTATGCACTCCTGTGTTTCCGTACATAGGCAGAACTGAATGAGGTTTTAGAGGATGATGAGGATCACACTCCTGCTCCGACCCCTCCTGCCGTCACACCGACCGCTCCCAAAGCAGGCGTCACACCCCTTCCTGCTGCTCCCAGCGGTGCAACTGGGTTGGAGTCTCGTCTATTGGAGCGCATTGATATGTATAAGACAGCCATTTCGAATGGCAAGGCTGCAGGGGAGACAAGCAAAGTTCGAAGATATGACCGAGGTTTGAAGGTGAAAGAATAATATCAATCTAAAACAGAATTTTGAAGCAAATATATTCATTTTAATGTGAAAAAACATGTGTATGCTGTTTTTTTCTTTTTCAACCCTAGACATTGCAGTCCATGTTGACATCTTTCAAGAAAGGAAAGCCTGTCAATGAGGAGGAGATCCCGCCTCCAGTTGCTCTCGGCGGAAAGACCAACATCCCAGCAGAGTCTGAATCCATCAAAGAACGAGAGCTGCCGGAGCCCGCCCTGATACCCTCTCCTCCTCCCACCAATCAGAAACCACTGAGGGAGGCGCCTCCTGCAGCTCCTAAGGCGAAATCTCTGCATCTGACTGTGCCACAAAAGCCTAATGCTGCCATCACCCCGGGAACACCAGCCATCTCTCCCCTCACCCCCTGCCAGCCCAACGCACAGCACTCAGGTAAACACACATGACCACATTCAGAGTCACCTGTGGACGCCTCTCCTCTTCACAACTCACTGGTACTGTGAACGGAATGTATAAGAGCAAACATGTGGCGATATAATAATAATAATCATAATAAACTTTATTGGTAAAGCACTTTTAAAAACACAATTACAAAGTGCTTTACACAACGAGATCTAATTATGTACACGGTCAAGATTTTAAGAACGAAAACATCAAAAATGATAAATAAATCCAAATAAAAGGTGTATCATGACAACAGGCAACAGGGTGAAAAGAAGAATAAACCTAAATAAACATCTATTTACTGTGAGGCCTTTTTTGCTAACCTGTGTTGTTCCACTAAAAAAACATTACATTTATTGAATCACTTTTAAACCGGAAGTTTGTTTATCAGCATAAAATGATTGAATGATTATTGGTTACAATTATTTTTGATCAATGGGTTTGCTTACATTTCCTCATTAACTGTTGACTGACATTTCTTTAGCTTTGCTTACTATCAATTGGGATTTATTTACTATATATTTATCAATTATCTTTCACAAAAATCATTGTCCATAACAACGACTACTTTCATAATCCCATATTTCTAATTTCTTGCTGCTGAAGTTGCTCCCCGCTAAATGTCCCTGTAATCCTCCTGAGCTTTTAAACTAACCTTTGTTTTGTGTTATTTGTTGTCATCTCTGTTATTCTGTCACACACACACACACACACACACACACATGTATGCTTTGCCTCCATTCAGAGCTGAAGCAGGCAGTGCTGTCACGACAGAGGGAGTATAAGATTGCTGCCATACACGCCAAACAGGGCGGAGACATAGACCTGGCCAAACAGCACTACCATGTTGCCAGGGTAACACAACCGATGTCAACGTTATAGCATGAGTACATCTATTTGATTGTGTGTAGAAAAAGTCTAAAAAGTTGATCTCTCTTTTTGCAGAAGATGGACGTGCTGGTGGAGGCTCTGGACCGAGGTGAACCAGTTGACCTGAGCTCTCTACCGCCCCCCCCTGGTCAGTGTTGCCACTCTCATGGAGTCCTTTATGACTGCACTGTTCACTATCTTCTCTAGGTTTGGTTTATCTCGCTCAAACTGGTTTAGTGCCTATTTGCCTTTAATGTTCATCAGACCTCACTGCATGAACTCAAACTTTTACTTTACTCTCAACTGATGAGACAAATATGTTCTCTTGTCTTTTTTCTTTATTTAAGTCCATAAGTGATTGTATACAATACTTTTAACAACTAGTTTTTGTCCATTAATCCAGTTTGATTTCTCCTGCATCTTTTGGACATCCATACATAATGGTACAGAAGCTGAGATTGCTCAATCTTATACATTGATACTGTATACATATTTGGACATTGACACGTTTTTCATCATTTTGGCTCTGTACACCACCACAATGGACTTGCAATTATACAATCAATATGTGCTTTAAGTGCAGACTTTCAGATTTAATTCGAGGGTATTTTCCATGAATGGTGTAGGAATTACAACCATAGATTACATCACATACGTGGTATCCCCTTTTTAAGGGTTAGGGTTAAAGGGATCAAAATTGTGTCAAAGTCCAAACCCGACTGTATATATGAATACAAATGTAAGATTCCATCTCAAAACAACTTGATGCAGTTTACAGTTTTGTTCTCAATAACAACAACTGATTCCTACATACTGACTAACTATTGATACACCCTTTGGTAAACACAGAACTGGGAATACTGCTTTCCAGAACTTTGCACCGTTTTCAATTATTTTTTCATATCGGACCTTTTTTTGTCTGTTATTGTTTTATTTTCCATATTCTACCCCCCTGTTGACGGGAATAGTTTTGATAATAATAATAACCTCCATCCCTCCACTCACCTGTAGAAGACGTAGTGGCAGCCCAAAGTGCACCTCCTCCTCCTCCTCAATCTTCCTCTAAACCCGCTGCCCCCGCTGCACCTGCACCCACCCAGGTGGCCACTGCCGGTAAGACTCCAATAGCCCTAATCCTTCAGATGATAAAAATGATCTCTGTTGAATTAAAATAATAAAGTGTGTGTGTGTGTGTCCTGCAAAGATCTCCCTGCTCCCAGCAGTCTGGGGGAAGCCCTGCAGCAGAGGATGGACATTTACAAGTCAGCAGCAGAGGGAGCCAAGAGCAAAGGAGACGATCGCAAGGCTCGCATGCACCAGCGCATCGTCAAGGTACACACAAGTCCTTTCATATATTGTTGTTATTTTATTCCTCTTCAAAATATTTAATATTTACAGCTTCATCTGAATCCAATACAGCATTAGATATTGATATATACTACTCAAAGATACAGCTAATTATGAGGCACATTGAATTCCTGGCTCTGTGCTTGTTTTTTCTCATTTCCCTGAATAGCTGGTGTGTGACTCACTTTATTTGACTGGAAATACACTCGTCGCTTTGCCCGTAATGACTGCTGTTGCTTATTTCAGCTACCAGAATAACCTGCCATATGGGCTGTCTTGTTCTCTGATGATTGACTGATAAATTGTGACTTTGAATTCAATTGGACTAAGCACTTTGAATTGCCTTGTGTTGAAAAGTGCTATATAAATAAACTTGCCTTGCCTTACCTTGCCTAGGCTGAGGCAAGGTTAATTGATGAAACAACTAAACTAAAATGTGTTGTTTAGCGAGTGTCATGCTTTTGTAGGAGCAGAAGCACATTTGTGAGTTATGCTTTTGTCAGTAATGTATTTATATGAATATATATATAGTATATTTATTTCGGGTAGCAATGCAACATTTGCACTGTTTTCTTTCAAAGTTGTCCATTTATGACCAATACAACAATATTTAGTTTGGAAACAATCAACTCTACTCGGCAGCTTTATATATATTCAAAAAAGCAAATGTATAAACAAAAATATTAGAGCTGTAACATTTATTTTGATATACGATTAATTGTTAAAGACAGAAAATGCTGTT